TTTTTTCCATTTGATTGGTTGATACCTTATTTTTTTTTGTTTGTTATTATTTTTTCTGTTAATTGTAAAGTTTCTTTACACCATCACGTTTTTTAAATTGTCGTTAATTTCCAAGTGTGATAGAAGATCTTCAGTCCTCTACAATGGCTAAGTTAACAAATATTTCAGAGAGATCTTCTATTCGATTCTTTGTCCTTTTACTGATTAATAATTCAAATTCATATTTCACAAAATGTAGGAGTTTCGACCTCCTGATAGGTTTTCTTCAATGTTTAAGAATAATACAAGATCTTCTATTGCAACAGGTAGGAAAGGAATGTTGAAGAGATTTTTTGTATCCTTCTCCGTTGTATCTCGTAGTTTTAGAGAACGACTGATAAAAAATTTTGAGAGTTGAAGTGCTGATTATATTAGATAAATATTTGACTCGAAATTTCTCGATGCTTTCCTGTGAGAGATATTGGGATTGTGCAAGAGAAAAAGATCTACTCTTTCGAGTATTCTCTTTCTCAATCACAGTAAGTTGAACAGGCGTGAAATGTTTTTCATACATACTGCAATAAATATTGTTTGCGTTCTCTATCGGTTTTTTGTTTGTCTTTGTTTCATTCTGTTCGAGTAAAAAATAAGAAAACCTTGAGAGCAACTACAGATTCAAGTTTTTTCGAACTTTATCAGTGAAAGCATTATTTTTTGAAATCGTGGCTAAAGTCAACAATGCGTCATATTTCGAAAGAAAAAAAATACATAACCTAAACACTTTCTAGTATGAATACAAGAAAGTTCCCACTCAAGTAGATGTACTGTTGTTGAGAAACACGGCTGGTTCTCCTTCTTTTTAAATTTAGAACAAACTCAATTTTGGAAAACTACGAAGTCCTCTGTAAAATTTGATGTTTTTCGGTGATGGCGTTGTATTTCTTCGACTCTAATAGCTACAGAGAGAAAATAGAAGCCTTCTTAAATCATAATTCAGTAGATACATATAAGGCTCAACTAGTATAAAATGAAAATTGATAAACTATCGATTTTAATTCTTCTAGAATAATAATTAAACAGTGAATCAAATGTCTAATCAGAGTGACTATGGTAAGAATGTCTTCTATGAAACAAAAATTTTGAATTATGTTATTCTTAATTAGATCCTAATGAACAACTTCCTTCACCAAGGATTGAAATACTAAATGAAATGCTCAGTAAGTTTTCTTATAATTGAAAACAATAATATTTCATTGTTTAGTTTTTTGTTTTGTTCAGGCCAACCAGATATTTTCGATTACAGTAAGTGTAAACTTTTCAAATTTATTTATTTATTTTTCTATCTCACGATATAGGTAAGATTTCTACACCAACTGGTATCGATCCATCTTATTATACTAATTCAAGTTCTCTGTCAGAATCAATAGCGCTTTCTACAACATTTTCAAATCATCAATACAATTTATATAGTAATCAATGTCAACGTACTCTTTCGTTTCATAATCTTGGAGCAACTTTTCCAAGCAATAATGATTATGAAGCAATTTTAATGAATACGGATTCTAGAAGTTTGTCATCGAATATAGGTACTACTGGTCATACGACCTTGGGATCCGAAGAGGAAAAGCTTCTCATTCTAGCTGAACCAAAAGCATTTTATCGTGATAGATATTATTGTGAAACGGATAAAACAAAGAATCGAGCACAACGTTTTATTCGTGCTGAAGATAATCAACTCAAATATGAATATCCAACTGTTAAAGTATTTAATATGCATGTTTATTTTTCATATCTATTAGTTCTTGTTTCTTTTCATAGATTCCAAAGAAATGGTGTGATCCAACACGACAAATATATATTCGAGTTACATCAGTTACTATAAAAAGCGAACATGTACCTTATCATTGTATACATCCTTATGAAATTGATACAGAAGACAAAAATGTGATTAAAGATCCTGAGCATAATTCATTATATTTTCCTATTAATGAAAAGGAATTTATTACTGGTGAAAAAAAGTAAATAAAAATCAAAGATAGTTCTACTAACGAAGGACTGTCGTCATCTGTACGATGACTCTTTATCAGGTTATCGACTATGTCGATTTCGACTATCACAACAATTTGGACCTCAATGTCGTCAGTGTCCGGTTTGCGGAAAATCCAGTTTTCCAACCAAAAATCTTTTATTGCGTCAAAATGTTTTTTTTTATTTGTGTAGATTAAAGAGCACATCGAAAAATCTATAAAAACATATTTAGTTCGTGTTCTGAACGATTATTGAGGGTGCTACAATCTGTATAAGTTTTCATATATAAAGGTTTTTACTGTATGATGTCTTATTTGAATTTCCAGAAAATTTAGTCAAATTTTTACGAACTTCTTTCACTTTCAGTTGATGAAGATATAGTAGATAACAGATGTATAGAAGGTTATGGCGACGTAGGAGGTGTAGGAGGGTATCCAGTGAACGTATAGGTTTCTTTTCGATTTGTCATGAACTCATCACACCCATGAGACAACAACATTCTAACCTAAGTGTCTGCCAGTTGCAAAAACTCCACCTGATGAGATACCCTGTTTGTGCGTATTCGCATGATTTTTCTTATTGTTTTATGAAAACTTGATGAAAAGCATCATATGTTAACTGGATTACTTTGTATACCTCCAATATCTCTATTTCATACTGTATCTTCATCAAATGAAAACAAAATAAGTTCCTGAAAATTTGAATAAATTTTCTCGAAATTCAAATAAGACACCATACATTAAAAACCTTGATACATGAAAACTTACATAGATTTTAGCACTCTCGATAATCGTTCGGAAAACGAACTAAATATGTTTTTATGGATTTTTCGAGATGCTCTTCTACTTGGACAAATAATAAAAAAAAAAAACAATCTGACGAAAAAAGATTTTGGACTGAAAAAACGAGTTTTCCTCAAACCAGACACTAGAAGCCTGACGGTCCAAATCGTAGTGATAGTCGGGATCAGCATGGTCGATTAAGCATAAATCATTAGGTTTCGAGCAAAAAGCGATTGATCAAATGGTGACTTCCCTCGTAAATGTGTTTTTTTCATAATTTTAGTTTTCACATTAGTCGAAGAAAAATGATTCAAAATGATTTAAAAGAATATGGACCGTTCCGTTTATTCAGTTCAAGTTAGCAAGTCATTAATATTAATCATATCTATGACTACGTAATATTTTATATATCTTAGACGAGCCTGATACGCAATGTGTCCTCGATTCACAAGATGCTAAGCACAAGATAGTCGTATATCAATTATGGAAATCTCAATTTATTTTTACTATTGCTGAACGACACGATAATGTTTCACTTCCTATTCCCATACCACATACGACCGCCGAATCTCAAATTATTGTTGATGAAGTAACTGATGCAAGAAGTTAGTTTTAGCCTGAAGAAAAATTTTCCAAGAAAAAAAAATGTCTTCTTTTTGTAGACTCATCAATGCATTCTTCAAAGGGTAATTCGAATAATCTAATTAAATGTATACCACAAAAAGGTGATTGGCAAGGTGGTGATGAAGTATTAATTATTATGTCTAAGCCAATCAAACGAAAAGGTTCAGACAACTAAAACTTTTTCTATCCATATTTTATTTGTGTCTTTTATTTTTTTATAAGGCTGTACAATATGTTTCGATTTCGAACTATTTGGAACACAAATTGTCAATGACATAACATATATTGATAAAAAAGTAATTGTATTTCGAACACCACCATGTCCAGTATTACCGGGAGATGAAAACATGAAAGTATCTATTGTTATTAAAGAAAATAATATAGTTTTATCTTCAATTGATTTTTATTATGTGACACGTATGTAATAGAAATGAGAAAAACAAGAAAATCAACGAATATATTTTGTTATTTTATTTTAGCAATGAAAACAACAATTCAACTATGTGCACAGTGTCAAAGTTATATAAACGATAATCGTACAAGTAATAAAAGAAGATATGAACGTGTGGAATTTGATAGTGGTCAAAGTCTCGTTTCACAGATGAAACAGTTATCAATAGAAGAGGTTAGTTTGTTTTCTTTCTAGACTTTTTATCTGGATTGATTATTGTAGAAAACTATTCAATCTCATGTTCCAATTTCATCAAATGGTATGTCACTTTGTAAACAATATATATTTGTATATAAATATATTTGTTTTTTTTCTGTAGAGAAGGATTCAAAATTTGATACATATCTCAATGAATTAAAAACTGCTTTAGAAAACTTTGTTCGTACTAACGATCCTTCTCGATTATTTCGTCGAACACGTATGTTGTTGTCTACATGTGATGAAAATCCACCTCCATTACATGATGCTATTCAACGTGGACATATACAAATAGCATTATCACTGATTGAACAAGTTCTTGACATGAATCCATCACAAGGATTATTAGAAAAAGAAAATGAAAATGGTGAAACACCATTATTAATTGCAGCTAAATGTAATCAATGGAAACTAATTGAACCTATTCTCAAAAATCGATGTGATCTTGCTACACAAAAAGATAAAGATGGCAATAATTTATTACATTTACTTGCAAATTCGAATGAAGATGAAAGTGCAGAAATAATTAAGAATGTTTTAAGGATTTTACCCAATGACACAAAAGAATGCCTTTTGATTGGAAAGAACAAACTTTCTCAAACACCAATAGAGATTGCACAATCTCATGACAATAATCAATGTGTTGATTTTTTGAAGTTGTCGATCGATGCTGGAAAAGAAAATACCTAATTTATAATATAAATCATTTGGTTTTCGTTTTTTTTTGCTTTATTTTTTTTTAAATTTTATTTAAATAAATTTACTTTGTTAGTTACGAGTTTATTGAAAAACTGTTTTTTTCTTCCATGAGTGAGAATAACAAGAAGAACAATATTCTATAAACACATATAATATCAGACATATTGAAGAAGAATCAGAGAAGATCAAGTTGATTTGATAGTATTGTTGTGTTTTAGACTTCATTGTACATCCAAAATATGTCGAATTCATCAGATCAAATCATTGATGATTTATTAATCGGTATGAGATACAAATAAAATTGTTTTCTATATTTTATTCTTCTATTTTAGGATCAGATGATCTTCATGATTTCTCACTTTCGGATCCTTCGCAACTTATGGAAGGTCTGCGAAAATCAAAAACAACTTTGCGCAAGTATAATTTTTTTGTATTTTTCAGATTTAGCTATGATGATCAGCCCTTTTTTTGTTCCACCTGATCTCAGTAAGTATCTGTGAGTAGAAAACAGAGAGAATAATTATTTGATTTAGATATGGGAACTCCATCACCTTCTTCATCAGGAATTGGTTCTGATTCAAATGATCAAGAATCATTGAGTAGTATGTTTAGAAAAAGTTTTTACAAAAATAAATTCGAAGGTTTTGTTCGTTGATTTGATTTAAGACGAATACAATCTTTCTTTTTATGTGTATTCAGCTTTCAAATGCTATGTTGTCGAAAGACAGTTTCTTGATAAACTTATTTTTGATTTTTCTTAATTGGAGTTTTTTGTACTTAAATGTGGGTGAATAGAGAGTGGATGAAGAACGGAGTCCAGGTTCCAAAATTTCGTGCCAGACAGGCTTCAATCTCAATCGATGAGGCATGTGTCTAGAGCTCGTTGGACTGCTTTTGAATCTGAATCTGATCTGCTCTAGACCTGAGAATTTTTTGTTGACAGGTTCCAAAATTTTGAAATAGTCGGGTTTCACACATGTCCCCACCAACATATTGTGAATAGATAATGGAACGAAACATGTGATAGCTAGAGAAGAAGAAATATTTTCAAATTTCTTTTACCACTCTGCTTTCCAATTGATATAGGTTAGAGAAAGTGCAGGCATCATCTATTGTAGTCATCCTTTTGCTTTTCACAGCTCTCTTATCTTATGCTGCTCTTCATCTCTATTTACACAAATTCGAATCGCTAAGATTTCCGCTGATAAAGATCATAAATAGATTTATGAAGAAACATCGTTCGACAGCAAAACATCGAAAAGCTTCAATTGAAATTAAAAAAGTGTACATATTTTTTTATTTAATCAATAAGACTTTTATAATTAATCTTTAATATTGCCCTTTTTTTGTTCTTTCACCAGACATTGCTCCACCAACAAATATGCAATCAAATACAACACGTCTAAAAATAATAGCTCAACCATATTATGGTGGAAAATTACGTTATCGTTCCGAATTTGACAACAATATCAATCGTTTAGGTGTTCTTAAAAATCGAAATAAAGAGTCGAATTTCCAAGGTCCTGCAATTCTGGTAAGTTCATTTATTATAATAATTTATTGAAAGAATTTCTTTTATTAGATTCCTGAGGAGTATGGAAAACCAAATGATGGATATTATATCCGTATTTCTCTTGTAACAGTTACATACAATAAAACAAATCTACACTATTTTCATCCCTATGAACTTGAACATCCAACGAATAAGCATAGTAATGATGCATATAATAATGCTGTTTGGTTACCGATTCAGCCAGAAGATTGTCTTTCGGGTACTAAAAGGTATGTAAAAGACCAACTATGCAAAGATTTTCTATAGTAGTTTTTTTAATATTCTACTATTGTTTAGTTTTCCATCATTACGTATTGTAAAAAAACGAGCTTGTCATTTACAAACTTGTTCAAATTTACGTATATTTGATTGTCATAGTAAGTTTTCATTTATTTCATAAAAAGAAAATTTATAATCAATCAAATATTTATTATTATTATTATTATTATTAGATCAAACATTACAAAATAATTCATTTGCACAATTTTCTCGTGCAAAAGACATAATTGATGAATATAATCTGGATAAAAGTCAATTAGCATTTACTGTTGCAAAAAAAGTATCTACTGATGGTCAAACTATGTTTCAACTTTATCCAGATACAACTGTTTATTCCGAGGAAATGGTTGAAGGTGTTGATATAGAATCAACTGTTGACAATAGTATACACTCAACAACCGCAAAAACCAATTCATCAACTTCTAACTGTCGTGTCTATAAATATGCGCCTAAATGGGGTTACGATACAAGTAATGAAGACATGCTTATTTTTTTAACAAATAAACTTGAACCAAAGAAATATGGAGGTGAGTATTAAATAAAAAATGAAAGTATATTATGATTTTATTTTTATAATCTAATAGAATTAAAAATCACGTTTGAATGCGATCTACCAAATAATCATTGGTCACAATCAATTGATAATATTGATATTAAAGATCGAATGATATCATTTAAAACACCAGCATTTCCATATCCATTCGAGATGGTACGACAAGTTAATGTTATATTGAAACAAAGTAATCGTACTTTAGGAACATTAACATATTACTATATGTCAGCATGTAATATCGTGGATCATTTTGGAAATTGTTTGTGGAAATCAAGTATGTTTTTTTTTATGCTATTTCTAGTGAATCAATGTTCAAGATGTCAATCAAATGCTGTTGATAATCGAACTGATCTAGTGCCAAATGTACCAAACAAACGTTTAAATTCTATGATCATCATGCATGACAGTGAAAATGATAGTCTTGTACCGGATTCGAAAAATTCAGATAAATTTCAACAATCACTATCAGAACCAGTAAGTTTTATTTATAGTTTTCGAATGAATTATATAAAATATTATTTTCTTAAAATTACAGGAATCATCCCTATCAACAGTCACTACATCGAATTTTGGTAAGAAATTTTTCTCATTTCATACTACATACTGTAGATAGCATTCAATTATTATCTATCTATTTTTTGCTATTAGTCTTGCTATTTTATAAACTGCACATATGTAATATACTAGTCTGAATGGATCAATAATGATTCCAGCAAAGTTTGTTTTCGTCTGAAAAACTAATTTTCTGAAAAATCAGCATATAAAGACCTAAGATAATTTCTCATAATCACCTTTTGAGTCACCATAATCGATACTATATGATCTTGTAGCGTTTGATCAGAAAGCCATTGATCATTTAAAAAGATTCACTCATAAACTGATTCACATGCAATAAATTGTCAAATAATGTCGGAAGAACTATTCGTTTTCATTTTCATACTTTAGCTTCTTTACCATCGCTACATATTGATCAAACAAGTAAAGATATCAATGAAAAACTGATAGAGAAACTCTATGCTGCCACTGAATTATTATTTCTAAACAATGATTATACTCCACTTCTACGTATATGTCGTTCATTCGTTAAGAAACGTCCACAATTACTTCATGATGCTCTCATTAAGAATCATTCTGATCTTTTATTAAAATTTATACCAATTGCTTCTATTGATATTCTTCAACAAAAAAATGAACTTAATGAAACTTTTCTCTTACATGCTTTACGTCTAAATCGTATAGAAATTATTCAAGCTTTATTGGAACGAAACAATTCGGAAGAACTTATTGAATATATTGATGAAAAAAGAAATAATATTTTTCATTTAATAACATCATATTCGATTTCATCAGAAGCACTTGATCTACTAATTAATTATCTTCATGAAAAATCAATTTCGATTCAAGAAAAGTTTGACTATGTTAATCAAGATTATCAAACACCATTACAATTAGCAATTTGTAATAATAATCTATTAGTTACAAAATCTCTTTTGCAATATTTTAATACTAATATACATGAAATAAAAAATCGCACAGGTGATAATCTTATTCATCTTGCAGTTCGTCATGGAGATTTAGCAATGGTTAAATGTTTAATTGAAGAAGGTAAATTAATTAAACAAGGAAATCAATCTAATTTAACAATGACACCAAGTGAATTAGCTCGATCACTTAAACATCATGATATAATGAAATATTTAAATGAAACATATCCTCAGGAAGATATTGATGATGATGATGATGATGATACTAGTTCAGATGATAATTAAATTACTGCGTTTTTTAAACATCTTCAACGGGAAAAAAATTTCTTTTTCAAATTCTGATAAAATAAAATGAATTCTTTATCGATATGATAAAAATTTCAATTTTATGAAAAGAAATAAAAAAATGCTACAATTTATAAATAAGTGCGAGTTAAGCATTCTTTTATATTTTTGTGCTCTTAATCTTGTTGCTTTTTATGTAATAAACAAAGAATCATTTCCATGTACTATATAATTTTGATGATTTAATGATTTGTGTTTATGTTTATGTTCGCTTTATATGAATAAATAATAATGACATTGAAAGTCAAATAAAACACTATAAAATTACATAGATCTAAAATGAATATGAAATAGATGATCTTCATTTAGGTTTTAAGCAAAAAACTACTCTTGATGTTGGAATGAAGTAAGAAATGATGAAATATAGATAATGTCACTTTCTTAAATAATACATAAGGAGAAGTATACATGAAACTTGAAAATTCTAATTGTGTTAACCAATATGAATGAAGTATAGAACAATATGAATTAAAACCAAATGATTTATTCAGCAGTTAAATAAGTAAATTTTGTAATTTTTTTTAGTTCTATCAACAGTCGTCGAAAACTTTTGTTGTAACTCGATATAAATACATTTGAATCAGCATATGCCGATTTAAAGTTCTCAAATAGTGATAGTTTAAAGTATAATTAAAGGTACAATGAATACTATGTTTTGTTTTTCTCCTTCACTCTAAGTTTCTATATTATATTTTATGATGACTAAGTTACTTTTGATGATCTGCTGAAATGAATATATATGGTATAGTTCACACAATTTCTTATCGGTTGATGATTTGAAAGAAGAAAAATGAGCAACTGAGTGGCCACTTCGACCATCAATCTATTGTCAGAACAGAAAAAAAGAATTCTAATGCATATATATGTGAAGCAGTAACAAAACAAACAAAGAGAGATGACTGTTTCACTTTTTGATGTGTGTAGACAATATCTCGACCCAGCAAGCTTTAAGAGTGCTATAATATTGATAGGACCTTGATTATAGCATTGCTAGATTGTCACTCAACATTTATCTATGATGAATTCATTTTCTCTCCGTTTTGGAGATGGAAATTTCAAAGCATCTCATCTTCGTGCAATTGATACTAATGATTGTGTTTTTTTGTGCGTTGCGATATTTCGTCTGATTTGTTGAAAGATAGAAGCAGGCAATGGTTAAGTTACTACATGAAATAATTGTCGAAATCTAGGAAAATGAAGACATTGTAGAAAACTTGGCGTCTGCAATCTTGATTCACATCTAAAAAAAACAAAGGCGACAAGAAAACTTGTGACAATGGCAGAGGCATCTCTCTTCAAATAACAATTGATAAGATGTTCTTACGCATCGTACTCAGTCGTATGCAAAATCTAGTTGATATGCAACTGTTAGAGCAACAAGCAGGATTCCGCAAGAATCGTCCCAGAATGAATCAAATAATGATTCGGAACATGGTTATAGGAAAGTCGCAAGAATTCGACAAGCCACCTCATATATGTGCTTTATTGACATTCAAAATGCCTATGATTCTCTAAATCGTACAAAAGGCAAGATGCGGATTAATGGTGAATCTTCAGATAATTTCAATATTGAAGACTGATGTCATATAAGATGGTTTCCAATCACTAATACTCTTCAGTATCTTTTTTTTGATTTCATCATAGGACAAATCAGGGAATAAGTTGGTGGTACTGGTTTTAAATGCCTTATGTGGTGTTTATCTTTGATAATACTATATACGTAGGATTCTTCATAAGAATCCTTGAACTAGTCACTAAAGACTTTGCTTTGACAATGAACATCCAGAAAGACGAATTATTAAGAGTCAACTAATTCACACAATGTCTATTAATATTTCAATTCGACATCAAATGATCGAAAAGGTTGAAAATTTTTCCTGTCTTGGGTGCTGTGTCACACGAGATCAATCCATAGAAAAAGAAATTGAAACAAGAACTTCTAAGGCGTCAAGGGCATTCAATATGCTGCATCATGTTAGGTGGTGCAGACAAACAGTCTCGATCGAGGTCAAACTCAAAATATTTAGGTCAGTCCAAAAGTAGTGACGGAGGTATCATAATTCCTTATAGAAAGCTCTGAGAAACTTTCTTTCTATATAGTCTGATAGAGAAAAGAATGCTCTATTTTTCTATGCTATTTGATCATACTTCAACTAATATCATAATAATAAACTTTTGATAAAATCTGTTTCGCTTGGAAATGTGCTGGTTGTATAACTGCTCATTGCAACAAAGTTAGGAGAGTATTTTTTGAATAACTTTTGAGTGCAAGAAGATAGAGAGCTTCTGTTTTCACAGTTGGAAAGAGGAAATGAAGGCGCATCAAGCTCTATATTAGAAGGGCCTTCTGGCCACGCTTTTCAAAGATTTTCCATTGACATTTTTCAAAACAACGCTACTTCATGGATTGTTTACATTGGATTTTCAATTGTCACGTGTGAATTCAAATCACCAATCAGAGATCTATAGAACTGCGAAAATATTACTGGTCTAAATTCAATTATCCAATATTTATACATATTTTAGTGGGAGGTCTACGCTATTTTTCGTAAGAGTTTCTGAAAAAATCACTTTTTGTTTTTCCTTTTTCTGATGAAAAATTATATTTCTGAACTTTGAAAATTGATTAATACAACTCGACAATTCATATTGGAAACCCTTAATATACAGAGCTTGATGCGCCTTCATCTCCTCTTCCCAACTGTGAAAACAGCAGATCTCTATCTTCATGCACTCAAAAACTATTCAAAACATACTCTCCTAATTTTGTTGCAATGAGCAGTTATACAACCAGCACATTTCCAAGCGAAACAGACTTTATCAAAAGTTTATTATTATGATATTAGTTGAAGTATGATCAAATAGCATAGAAAAATAGAGCATTCTTTTCTCTATCAGACTATATAGAAAGAAAGTTTCTCAGAGCTTTCTATAAGGAATTATGATACCTCCGTCACTACTTTTGGACTGACCTAAGTATTTCATGCCTGCATTATGCCGGTCTTGCTATACGGAAATGAGGTATGCACTCTGACAACAGTACAAGAATGACGTCTTATGAACTTTTATTACAAATGTTTGCATATCATTATTCGAGCAAATTTCAGTGACAGAATGTCCAACGAAAAAACTCTACGATCTACTGATGAGCCTTGCTTTGTGGATATTGTTAGGCCAAATCGACTTCGTTGGTTGAAACATGTTAAGCAGATGAATAGTGGCAACATTGTTACCATCAATTGTTAAAATATATCCATGTTCAATAATTATTCACGTTTGAAACAACCTTGGAACGCTGATATTTGAAAGCGTTGGTAACACAAGATTACAGATGATTTAGCGAAATGACAAATTCGAAACTGACGACCAAGCACGCTAGATCGGGACTACCAGCGTCAGATAATCAACAACCATATACAATTTAAATCACCGTCATCAGATATTTGGATCATTGTTCAAAAGCATAAACAACAAACACACAATTGAGTAAACAAACTACTATAACAAAAGTATTCTATCCTCAACCAAACGCAATAGAAAAGATTTCTCGTAAAATAGCGGCACCTACATATACCTGCAATGTAAGAAGGTTTTCAAACCACAAGGGATCAGCAAACACGTCCAAACATGTTTGAAGTTATACTATAAACAAAACAATATCCACATGTAAAAAGGCAACAATTAGTGGCATAACTAAAAAAAGTCGGATGGTTGGACTTCATCCTAACGATTTTTAGGAAGGTCCTGTAAGGTGATGCTGTGTTTCTGTTTCAGGGTGAAAGAATGAAACACTGTATTTATTTTCATAATAAAGCTTTTAAAATGACGTTTGATTTATTTAGCCGAAACAAAATTTTTTGAAAAACTCCAAGATTCGACTTAGTAAACTTCTACTCTTTCTGCCTGACTTAGCGAAATCATCTATGAGTTTTTCGTCATTGATGTTGAAATCGCGCTCCACTGCTATAATGCACAAACCCCTCAATGCAATATCTGACATTAAACTGCGCATTATTATGTTTATCTATTTCATCTTGCGAAAGGTCCTCTCAAATTTGCTAGATAATATCGGTATGATCATAGCAGCAACGATCAGAGTTATTGTTATTGGAAATGGCCACAACTCCTTTTATACTTATAATTCAACATAAACATCAACAATCCTTCTTAATTTTGAGTCTATCTGTAGCTTTTGAACTTCATTCAATTCATGCCCACACCCAAGATGAGCTAAAAAACGAGCCAGCGGCACCAATCCTGGATTCTTTAACAATAAGTAGCAGTTTAGCAAAAAGTTTATTTCATGTAATAATATCAAGACATTATTTGTGTATTTTCCTTGTAGATCTCATAATGAAATAATCTTTGGTGAAATGATAATTCAAGGATAATTACTATTAAATTAGACATCTCTCTATCACGAGAAATGAATTATTCTTAAATATGCATCCAAACAGTGATCAGCTTAGAATGAAGATATTTGTGTTACTAATTAACACATTCGCCGCGATATGAATTTTGCTTTTTCACAATTCATGAAAGGTTTCATTTCTTTATTCAAGACAATTCTAATATTGCAAAACAGTTTTTACCAACGCTTCTGTTATGAATATGAGTTATGAGCATTCCTTTATCAGTGATAAAAGAACCAGTCTCTTCCGTCAAAATATAGCAGAGATATTCAATTTTTTCTGCTGTGAAGGAAGTTTTGGGCAGCCCTATAGTGGGCCCCACCAGTGGAACCCATCGCGTCGAATGTGTTAATAAAATTACACATATTCGAGGTTAAATGTCTTATCGTCAAACTGGGAATTTCAAAATATGAGCATCTGGTTACATAAAAAGACAGAGATATTTGAATTTTGTAGTATTTTCTCATGTGTGTTAGGTGCAAATCATGCACAGTTTCAGCAGAATTTATTGTTTCGTTTTATTTAGAATGATTGGATAGAGCTCATCGTTTTCGGCGAGAAAGTATTTTCCAAAATTAAAAAATAATTATACGCAACTTCCAAGATATTATTAGTTTTAACTATGAGGGAACAGAACAGACACCTAAATTTGTGACATTCGTTTTGTCACGTTGGAAACACATTTTTTTTTGTAGCTCGACAAGTTCTATTCAATAATCCCATAAAAAGGAAGGATAAATTCTGCTGAAATTGTGAATCGTAGACGCCTTACACACATTGAAAATACCATAAAATTTGAATATCTCTGTCCAGATAAGTAATCAGAAGCTCATACTTGAAATTCTTAGTATCGTGGTGAGACATTTTATCTTGAATATGTGAAGTTAATTAACAGACAACACAATCACTTAAATTATTCCACCGAGAGAGGAAGAAAATTTGAATGCCTTCCTTTTCATTAATTTTACTGCTTTAAAAAAAAACTATTCGTTTTTACACGGCCGATGATTAGACTGTAAGTTCCAGTGGTTATGATTAGTTTAACCTAGCGCCTCACTCTGGTTACGCCACTAGTAGCAATGTTCTGATTAAAGAATCTACGTCTCTTCTACCGAGTGCACAAGGATGGGTGTCATCGAAACTTAGTCGTTGCAGTCTGGAGATATTATCTAAAACAGCAATCAAAGCGGATGAGACCATCCACAATCCCACGAGATTTCCACAGAACAGCTCATCTCTGCGCCTTTAACGATGTTAAATGATTGTTTCTTTCCGCTCTTTTTTTCATTTTATCATACTATGTTTTATTTCAACCGCACAACGTAATGTAAGGATAATTGAATAAAATAAATAACTTTCTACTCTAAATCAATTGCATTACGAATCTTTAGAGATGAAGAATTTACATGTTTTTCCAAATCCTGAAGTCTCGATATTTTAGACATCTGACAATAGCTTTTACTTTCTTATATGCTTGCTGCAAAACCATGTTCTTTATTAGAATCACTGCTGAAATTCTTGCTAGCGCTCACCACAATCGCAAAAAATTGAAAATGGATTTTGTTGAGTAATTTCGTTGCTTGCTGTACATAAAAAGAATCACAATGACTTCACCTACATAAAGCCCCTTTATATGAATAAAACAACAGCTAAATAAACATTGTTGACTAAGAGAAAAAATATTAGTAACTGATGCAGGAGTCTCAGTCACATGGAAAAACAAACGATGTTAAAGCAAAACCAACAAGAACAAGTGACTAGTTCATCGACTATTTTTCAGTTTAGTAGATAAGGATCGGAGTGAAGTTGGAAATATTGCTTTTTCTGATGACATGGACATGTTATCCAATAAGAAATGGATTCACTATAATGCCTTCTAATATGATTATCTAGTCAATAACAATAAGTCTAGTAATATTTCAAGTTGGTGATAATATAAGTATCACAAAAAAAATTTTTTCTTGTGTTTTTGCTGACGAAATTTCTTTCATCACTTACTTTATTTCTCTATACATTCATTCAACATACAATTCATTTTGTTTTGCATATGACAAATATGCTTATCCTTCCCATAGAATCATTTCTATTTGATATATTTTGTGCTATATTTGGCTATGCTTTCTATGACCTTTTTACCCATTCGCTCTATGTGGGAAGAATTTTACACGTCATTCTATTACCAAGGGCCTATAAATATAGACAATGTGTCAATATGTATGTGAAATTTCCGATTAATTTTTTCCCATGTCTTCTGCCTTTTCCCAGCCTGTCCGTCTAAGACGGGTTTATCGTTTCTTGTTTTCGTCATGTTTAGATCATCGCTGTTCATATTTTTACGATTTTCTCTGATATAAGCAATGAATATTACAAAGCGGACATTAAATGACTAGACTAAAATGATTACAGCGTATAGATAACTTTCGATCAAGGAAGGAGACACTTTAATCAGAAGTCCGTAGATATATATATAAAACCCCACTGATATAAAATAACGACTAATACACTACCTATTTTAAATCTTCTAGATTAATAATTAAACAGTGAATCAAATGTCTAATCAGAATAGCTATGGTGAGAATCGTTTCAATGAAATAAAACTTTTGAATTATTTTTTTATTAATTAGATCCTTATGAAGAACTTCCTTCACCGAAGATTGAACTACTACATGAAATGCTCAGTAAGTTTTCTTATAATTCAAAACCATGATATTTCATTACTTAGTATTTTGTTTTGTTTTGTTCAGGCCTACCAAATATTTTCGATTACAGTAAGTATCACTTTTTCAAATTTTATTTATTTTTTCTATTTTACAATATAGGAACAACTTTTACACCACCTGGTATCGATCAATCTTGCCGTAGTAGTCTGGATTCTCTATCAAAATCACTAACGTTTTCTGAACAGTTCTCATTAGAAAATTTTGAATATGGTTTAGATATTTATCAATGTCAACGTGCTCCTTCGCCTGATATTTTTGGAACAACTTTACCAAGTACAAACTTGCGACTCCAAGATAAAAAACTTCTTATTCTAGCTGAACCAAAAGCATTTTATCGTGATAGATATTATTGTGAAACGGATAAAACAAAGAATCGAGCACAACGTTTTATTCGTGCTGCAGATAATCAACTCAAATATGAATATCCAACTGTTAAAGTATTTAATATGCATGTTTATTTTTCATATCTATTAGTTCTTGTTTCTTTTCACAGATTCCAAAGAAATGGTGTGATCCAACACGACAAATATATATTCGAGTTACATCAGTTACTATAAAAAGCGAACATGTACCTTATCATTGTATACATCCTTATGAAATTGATACAGAAGCCAAAAATGTGATTAAAGATCCTGAGCATAATTCATTATATTTTCCTATTAATGAAAAGGAATTTATTACCGGTGAAAAAAGGTAAATAAAAATCAAATATACTTCTACGAAATGTGATTTTTTTTATGATTTTAGTTTTCAAATTAGTCGAAAAAAAATGACTCAAAATGATTTAAAAGAATATGGGCCTCTCCGTTTGTTTAGTTCATGTAAGGAAATCTTTAATAATAATCATATCTATGACTACGTAATATTTTATATATCTTAGACGAGCCTGATAGACAACTTGTTCTCAACTCAACAACTGCTAAATACAAGATAACCACATATCAATTAAAGAAGTCTCAATTTATTTTTACTGTTGCTGAACGACATGATAATATTTTACTTCCTATTCCAATACTTCATACATCCGCCGAATCTCAAATTATGCTTGATAAAGGAAATAATAGACGAGGTCAGTTTTGATTTGAACAAAAGTGTTCAGAAAAAAATTATTGTGTTCTTTTTTAGGAGATTCATCAATGAATTATTCCAATGATAAATCGAATAGTGCGATTAAATGTATACCACAAAAAGGTGATTGGCAAGGTGGTGATGAAGTACTCATTATTATGTCTAAGCCAATCAAACGAAAAGGTTTAGAGAATTAAAACTTTTTCTCTTCATATTTTATTTCTGTGTTTTTCACTTTTTATAAGACTATACAATATGTTTCGATTTTGATCTATTTGGAACACAAATTATTAATGAAATAACACATATCGATACAAAAATAATTTTATTTCGAACACCACCATGTCCAATATTGCCAGGAGATGAAAACATGAAAGTATCTGTTGTTATTAAAAAAAATAATATAGTTTTATCTTCAATTGATTTTTATTATGTGACACGTATGTAATAGAAATGAGAAAAACAAGAAAATCAACGAATATATTTTGTTATTTTATTTTAGCAATGAAAGCAACAATTCAACTATGTGCACAGTGTCAAAGTTATATGAATGATAATCGTATAAGTAATAAAAGAAGATATGAACGTGTGGAATTTGATAGTGGGCAAAGTCTCGTTTCACAAATGCAACACTTATCAATAGGAGAGGTTAGCTTGTTTTCTTTGTGAATCTTTCATTAGAGCCTTGCGGAGTGTACGTTTTTTCGACTTCGATTCGGAATTCTTTTTCCTAGTGCATACAATCATTCCAAAAATCGATCATAGAAGTTCATATCTACTATTTTTCCTTAATTGGAAATCCTATAAAAGATAAAAATAGCGATTTAAATAGAGAACATTGGTTCCAATTAGGGTTGAAGGAAAATAAAATTTTTACAATGCTTTCGAAACCCATGGTCTCTAAAAAAGCTTGAACTTAGATTTTCAGTAGCCAGAACTTGAAAATAAAAGCTTTGTTTGTTTTCACGAATTGATATAGTAAAGCTCTACAAAATGACACATCTCCGAACTCACTACGAAATTTTTTGACGGAATCATATAAATTTTAGGAGAAGTGCAAAGGTTCTTTTTATTCAGTTTCCTCGTAGAAAATGGCAAGAAAAACTAATCCTGGATGTCTGTTAATATCGATGTACGTTTCATGGAAAAATGTCGTGGAGACCTCGGTGACATATCACTTTGTAGAGAATCAGCTACGCTATCTCTGTATAATCAAAAAAAACTAATTTTCGAGTTTACGACTATTGAAAAGCTAGACTTGCGGTTTTAAACGGTGTCCCATTCGTTTGGGACTTCAATGAAAATTAGTTTATATGTAAATAAAGACAGATCTCTATCCAATTGTATCTATATGAGCTTTCAGTACTTAGGATGATGTTTTATATGGCATATTGTACCCAATGATATTATCTTTTTTGATAACAGTGATATTAACAAAATAAACATGATAATTAGATTTTGGATAGGTGTGGGTATAGAAGCTAGCAACACTCAAATTTTCATACTACGTGTTACTTTGTATAACTGTAGTACGTTGCATACAATAGATTCACAGTTCATGAACGCTTCTTAAAAAGTTTGGTCGATTTCGAGATTTTTATTATCGCGTTTTGTCTGTTTACACTACTATTGTTAAAAGAGATACTGTCGTTGGACAATATACCATGTAAAATATCATTTCAAGCACTTGAAGCTCATATATATATATAGTTGAGTAGGGATCACTCTTCGTTTATATATAAACTAATCTTCGTTAAGTTTCAAAACTTATGGGATACCCTCTATAGAGGTCCTGAATTTCAGGAATACTGTGAAGATTTTATTTTTTCTGAAATCCTTATTGCAAACAATATTCTTTGTGCCAGCAACTATTTAGATTTTTGATGTGAGTTACTAATAGAAAAAAAACGACAATAAATCTTTTACAATTATTTTTTGAAGTCACTGCATACATGTTTTTCTACTACTTATTAATGTGAATTTCTCTCTGATTTTTCCTTTTTTTGTTTTTGAAACTTATTTATGAATCTAGAAAATAGTGTATTGTTGTTCACTACTTAACATATGAAGCATACAATTGTTGCTATATAAGGGTAAAAAAGACTTGACTGTTTTAACGATGTAACTCTGACATTGAGTGTGAAAGAATTCGTCACGATCAATGCGACTCGGACGAGTTTCGCAGTCCAATGAACGGCTTGATTTTTCATCTTCTACGATTATTTTAGGAAAATATGCGATCTAATACTCAAACTTCATCAGATGGTATATCAACTGACGAACAAGATCTATTAGTATATATATTTTTTCTTTTTTGTTTCTTTAGAAAAAACTGACAAATTTGATAAATATCTCAATCAACTACAAGTTGCTTTAGAAAAATTTGTTCGTACAAATGATCCTTCTCGATTATTTCGTCGAACACGTATTTTATTATCTAAATGTAATGAAAGTTCACCTCCATTACATGATGCTATTCAACGTGGACATATACAAATAGCATTAGCACTGATTGAACAAGTTCTTGATATGAATCCATCACAAGGATTATTAGAAAAAGAAAATGAAAATGGTGAAACACCATTATTAATTGCAGCTAAATGTAATCAATGGAAACTAATTGAACCTATTCTCAAAAATCGATGTGATCTTGCTAAACAAAAAGATAAAGATGGCAATAATTTATTACATTTACTTGCAAATTCGAATGAAGATGAAAGTGCAGAAATAATTAAGAATATTTTTAAAATTTTACCTGATCGAATAAAAACAAATCTGTTGAAGGAAAAAAATAAAAAGAATCAACGACCATTGGACATTGCACAATCTCATGGCGATTCTTCTTCGTCTGAGCTTTTAATCGAAAATGAAAAATAATTTTTAATAAATTACTCAACTAATCTTTATTTTACTTTCTATTCATAAAAATTAGCATATCTAAAATTGATTTAAATGTACCTATGTTTTTTAATGTCTCATCTTATTTATGATATAATACTATGTGATAATAATCTTACTCATGAATACTGGCGAATGGAGAAAATTTGTAAAAGTTAAAATAAAGTTCAAAGTGCCCTCTTTAACAGATTTGGTGTAGAACGCAAAAAAACTGTCCAAATCAAATGATTAACTTCATGATGATGTCATCAATAATATAAAATTGCAGGAAAACTTTCATTTATTTTATATCACTATTCATGGATATGAAATATATTGCTATCATTAAATTGATAAACATTTTTACTGCTGATAAGTTTATATGAAATTCCATGTTTGTTAGTATTGTTGAATAACTATTCTTCTTTAAAGATTTCAATACAAATTTTTTGTAACAAGAAAAACTTTATTGTCCTTTTCTTTTATCATTGTCTATTTATTTGAAACATTCTGTTACTAGTTGTGTAGAATTCAAATATTCTTTTCATAGAAAATATTGAGTATAAGCTTAAAGCGAGGTTTTTGTGGTCCTCTGCCTAAACTCTGGCAATCGTGACTGTGGGAAGGAAAATCAACTATCATTAGGTACATTTTTATAACAACAAGAGAAAGCACATTACTCAGTGAAAAATATTTGCTTCAAAGAACGGGAAAGAACGCGTTGCGTAAAATTAAGTCCTTTTTTTAAGAAAAGAAGACGTTCTAATAAAAATGGAAAGCGTTCCAAAATGGAACCATTAAGAACACATTCCATGTTTTTTGGAAAGTGTTCTTAACTGTTCCAGCTTTTTAGGAACGCTTTCTTTTCTCAAAAAAAAAGCTAACTTTTTTTGAAACTCATTCTTGGTCGTTATTTTCGGAATTGAGATTCACCATAAGAGTTCTCGAAGAGAAGTTTAGACATAATTTTTTGAAAGATCAATTCTGGTGTAACTTGACGAGCTCTATCCAATGGCGTGCTCTAATTTTTCATAGCTCAAACTATTATTAAAAAAAAATTTTTGGAATCAGGACTGCCAGTTGTAAAGTATGACTAATTGAAGGTTCCACCATTTTTGGCACTAGTTTCAGGGTGTCGTACTTCAGAGCTATCATTTTTGAATCAAAAGTGACGTTAAATTCAGATGAAAGCGTTCATCAGTCAAAAGAATCTATTCTCAGGTGTTTCTCAAGAGAATGTTAAAAAAAGCGGTCCCATTTCGATGGAATCCTATCTTGACTGTTTCGAAATAGAATGGGCAGAGACACGTTCTATTGCCTCATGGAACGGTTCAGAACGCTTTCTATTTAGATAGAGAACGATTTTTGAACTGAGAAGAAAGCATTCTGTACTAGTGTGGAACAGTAAAGAATGAGTTCCTTTAGACTCAGAATTTTTCTTTTTGTTTGTGAAAACGTTCTCTAAGCTGTAGAACACATTCTTCATGTAACAGACAAGTCTCTACATTTTTATGAATGCGTTCTCTTTCGTTATTTTTAGAAATATTTTTCACTGGGTAGTAATAATAGTGTTTAGTTGATTGTAAAACTTCTCAGAATCTTCAGAGGCTTTTTATGAATATAAGACTTTTACTGTAGCATTTAACTAGTATAAATATTGCGATATTTTATATTTAATGCAATGAACGAATGTTTTTGTACGTGTTGTTATTATTGACCTAGCAAAGTCAAGATACGACGAGCACAGAAAAGTATGAACTAATTGAATTTTAGGTCCAAACAAAATTCAACAGTATATGACAAAGCTCATTGAGAGAGAAATGATGTGATCGGAACGTTACTGAATGATTAAATCAACGTGTTTAGCAGGCTAATAAAATGGTTGAAACAAAGAATAAAATGATATTTGCTGCTTCCTATGACATATATCTTATATGCTATCATTAGGAGAAAAACAATTGTGTTGAAAATTTATTAGCAATACAATTTAGTGTTTTTTTTCAGTATGATGGTGTTATGAATGAATTTAATAAGTTAGTAGAATAGAAATTCTAAATGGAAACATTTTCGAAGTGACAATATTTCTTAGGACACATATCAACTGTAAAAATTTTGATAATTTTGATTTATTCATTTATTCGGCATTTTTCTAAATAAATTATTTTAACCTTTCTGATGCTATATCATAAATTTATAACAGTTAGAGTTTGTGAGTTTCACACTTTGACCCTGTATAGAATCATCCTGACAAGTTTTTTAATGACTAAGATTTTTCACAATTAATATATCATAAATTTGAAGGCACTATTTTGTTTCAACAATGAAAAAGAACTTAATAAGACAAACAATCTTAAAATATTTTCATGCTATTAAATCCTAGTAAAATCAAGAGAACAAATAGAAAGAAGAAATTTAAACAATTAAATAAAGACGAATATCGTGAAAAAAAATGTTGCATCATTATTAATGACAAAGTATATAGTTATCTTCTTGTCTAATGTAAACTTTATAGATAAATGAATGATACAAAGTAATAAACGACGCGCTGAAGAACGAAAAGTAGTGTATCAGAAAAAATAAAAGAAACAATGAAAAGTAAAAAGACAAAATAGAGAGTTATAAAAATTTTTGATAAAGACTATGTACATTGAAAATCAACATGAGTAAATAACATTCAAATCTCACGAAATTTCGATAATATGTTCTATTATTATTCCTTAAATATGCTTTTCTAATAAGTTACAAGCAAGTATCCGTTGACAAAATCTCTATTTACTGATGCTCAGGTCAAATTGATCGGACACAAGAAAAGTTAAGTAAATTGTCTGCACGACTTAACACGAAAACATTTTACTCATTGATTTGTATAAATCATTTATTATTAAACATTTTTTATTTGTATCAACCATCAAGAAAAATAAATCGAATGTCAAAGCATATTTGTTCTTAAATTTTTCCTTATTAAACAAAATCAATGACATAATAATCTCATTTTATAATACGATAAAATATGATTCGAATAATATGCATTGCATATACATAGTTTGCTTGCTTTTGATTAGATCTGTTACAACAATGAAACACTATGACGATAGCAGGCAAAGAGAAATTAAAAAATACTTAGACAAACAAAAAACCTATTCAATGTGGGAAAAACCAGCTGTATTTCGCTATCTTCTTTTTTTTCTCTATCTAGAAATCTTCTGTCGACATCAATTAATCTTTTACTTTTCGACTAGGCATGCACCCAAACTCAATAGAAGAATTTGAGTATTTCAAACTTATCTCACTGACTATGAACTGTATCAATAAACTGTATCGCCATTAATATTGAAGGAAGTCTGCCTTTGACAACTAAATAGAAAATGGTCAAATGAGCTGCTTCATTAAATGAGAGATTCAAAGAGAACTGAACAACCCCCCAAACCCAAACCCAATGAGTTTGGGTTTGGGTTTTGTGATTGACTCTAGTATTTAGTCTAAGAAGGTTGCCGAAATCTCTCTTTTGGTATTCTATAGTGTCATCCTCCTACTTAAGTTTTTCACTGAAGAAAAACTGTTGTATAGCATGGTTCAGTAAATAAGGGCATTTTTCCTTATTTGGGCAGAAGTGACCCAAACGGTTTGGGTGCATGCCTATTTTCGACTAATAAGAATAACAAGTAAATTGACATACTACTATATTTTTCTTGACCTATATCAATAGAAAAGTCATCAGATTGAATAAATAAAAATGTCTTAACAAATAATCTTGTTGGTAAATGAAGCACTTTTATTTTTAGTTATTATTATTCTTGAGCCATTTTAGAAGATGAAATAAATCATTAAAACATGGTTGACATAAATGAAATTGAGAGTTCACTGTAATTAAAATTCAATTTTATATCATTTTTATTGACTTTGGTAAAACTCCTTTGCAACTAATTCACAAAAATGGACATTATTCAGTTGATTACGTTTAGATACTATAAGAAATACTTTTTCAAAAAAACTCACAACTATCTGACCACAAATCATTTATTGTGAAATCATCTGTGAGTTATTTCAAATAACTGTCAAAATTTTTTCTATGACAGTTTTAAATTCAATTACGATATGACCAATACAGTAAATTTTATAAAGGACGTTGGATTTATTCAAATTGGTCGAATACTTCCTTTAACGGTACCTTTTAGTTCATATCAACGTGCTTGATATGATGACGAATCAAGAAAAACACTGAGTTACATTTTGTGTACCTAATAATGATCCCATTACTTTGGAAGTAAGTAATTATAACTTTTCAATAATTTCCACTAACATGTTCTCGAATAGATATCTAATCTTTGGCATATATTTGAATCTAATATATCAGTACTGAATGCGTATGCCATGTACAACTAAATCAAATGGTATAAATAAATTAATATTTTGTCATCCATATTTAACATGACATAATGATAAACATGCTATAATCCATAATGGTTCATTATTTATTTTAATAACTGAACAAAATTATTAAGTAAATACTTCTAGAAAAAAGACAATCGAAAATTTAGAAATTCATTTTTTTGAGTCGAAAAATTAAATATGCAACGATTAAAATATGATATATTAAGAAAATACAACAACTTACGATGTAAACCATCAACAGAACTTAATTTTAATCGTATGTAAAAATAAAACAAAATTTTTTTGAGTTACTGTTTTTTTTTTTATAGAGTTTGAGAATTTTATTCGATCAATATGAATACAGTTAAGAATTTAAGAAATCAATATGAGCTTTGATATTCAATTTTGCGTTTTCAAATTACTCTAGTTGATCAAAATAATAAAGTATATACTAGAGATTTAGAATGTCAAATTAAACCAATCTATAGATATAAATGTAAATTTTTTAATCAATAGTTCGAATATAAACTTGTTTTGTCTTCTTCATTTTTAGCTAATCAATTGATAAGTTTATTACGAATTATTGACAATATTCATAAACATTCCAGTTGAAGGTAAACAAATTGAAT